TTCAATCTAATGTATGAAATATGATATGTCAAGAGCTTTGTAATGTTGTGAACAACCAATAAAAAAATAAAAAATTAAAAAAAAATAAAATTTAGATTTTAATTAAAAAAAAAAAAAAAAACTAAACCTGGAGTCGAGTGTGGTGGTGCATTCCTGTAATCCCAGCTACTCTGGAGGCTGAGGCAGGAGGATGAGTTCAAAGCCAGCCTCAGCAACTTAGAGAGGCTTTAAGCAACTCAGTGTGACCCTGTCTCCAAGTTAAATCTAAAAAAGGGCTGGGAATGCATCTCAGTGATTAAGTGATAAACCCATGGGTTAAATCCCCAGTACCAAAAAAATTAAAATTGAAAAACCCTAAACCTGGAAAAATAACAAAGACAACTCAGGTCTTGCTTCCTTATCTACAGAGAATTGCTTGGAAGCTGATTACTCCTTGGAAATTTCAATTTAAGAGGTTCTCCTGAGTTTTTCTGAGCACCTACTATGGAAGGAAATAAAAAATGATGCAACACAAATTATAAAAACAAGGAGGCAGCCAGTGGAAATAATTAGAGAGCACTTTATTTTAAATTTAAAAATAACATCAAAATTCTAGTGCAATTTTGTAATTATTTAATCCTTATCAGTGAACTAAACAGTAATCTTCAGCAGAAATAAAATACAGTGATTTGCTTTCTGAATCCTACTATAGGTTTATTAGAGACAGGGAAAAGCTCTGAATGAATGCGCTGAACTATGGAAGCAGGGTGCCATGCCGTGTGGCAAAGGAGAATGGATTCTCTTTAAACCTCTGAGATTCCATTCCTTTAAACCTCTGAGCTTCCATTTCTTAAGTGGGATAAGCCCATTAGAATTCCTAACAGGTTTTACAGAATTCAAGGGCACATTTGAAACTCATGGAGCAGTTTCTGGCACACCAGGCATTCGTAAGTGGAAACTATTGCTTCTATTCCCCGGGGTGTTGGTGTTGATATTACAGATTCCAGCTATGCTAGCTTCGTGACTTTTAGCAAAACACAAGACAAACTCCTTGGCCTCAGCTTATCATTGTCCAGTGATCACTAGTTAATAGTCTGAGCATGCGCCAGGGCGAGAAAACCTGTGTAATCAGTGCCCCAAATCTAGCTCCCTGTGCTCACTGTGAAGAAGTCTCAAAAAAAAAAAAAAAAAAAGTGAATAGCGCAAAAATTGGCAGCTCTTTCAGCTGCAGTGTTCTTCCAAGAACAGCACCTACACTAGCTGAATCACTCTCCAGCTGATGGCTTCTCTACAAATTGGGTTTTTTAAATATCAATAACTTACTCTTTAATATCTACCACCATGTCACAGGAGGAATTGCATTATGACCCCTAGTTCTGTGCTTTTCTATCAGGATACTTCCTGGATTACAGGATGCGATTACCTCTCCCAGCTGAAACGAATTGTTGCCACTACAGAAAGGACTATCATTGTCTGGGATTATAAAGCTCAAGGGAACAGCCAGGTACTGTGCCAAGAGAAATACTCAAAAGAAACGAGAATGTCAATTTGTATTGGTGAGGATATGAACAACACAGTTTCCGTAGTGAAGGTCACCTTCCTCATATACAAAATCAGAGGACTTAACTAAATAACCTCTCAGATCAAGTTCCATATTCACATTCTGTGATTAAAAGGAAATGTTCTTCCCATTAAGTGCATATTTAATTCAGGGGTTTTTGCCTAGTTTTGGTTTTGAGGAGAGGGTAATTCCTTTCCTTTTGTATGCCCATTCTCTTAATCTAAGCATTATTTTTCTGGTTATGCTTTCCAACACTTTTCTCTCCAGTCCAGCTTCATTAGGTTAAAAAAAAAATTACAAAAATCAAATTGCCTAATTCTGGAAAAAAGTCTAATGAAGCAGCTCTTTTGTGACTGAGCAATTTGCAGACATTTAGAAGTAATGAACATGTTCTCTGCCTTCAAAAACCACTCAGTCTTGAAGGACCTCATGAATAAACACAATGTATAACATAAAAGGACATCAAATTCTACAGTAAAAAAATAAAAAGATGCAACTACAATAGGGGCTCAGGGAGAAGTAAGATTGCTGAGCATTAGGACTATAAAATTTTTTTTTTCATGGTTCAGGCTGACTCTGAAGGACATGGAAGATGAAGTAGTTATTTAATCTTCTTCCATTCCTTACATTTTCCTAGCTTCAGTGAGATACTAAACTATTTTGTGCGATTTGTCCTGCTATTGTAACCAACTACTGATGCCAGAAGGCTGGGGCAGGGGCTGTAGCTCAGTGGCAGAGCCCTTGCCTAGCATGTATGATACGCTGGGTTCCTTCCTTAACAATGCATTAAAAAAAAAAAAACTAAACAAATAAAGTCATGCTGTCCATCTACAACTGTAAAAAAATTTAAAAATAAAATAAAAGGCTGCTGGTTGCTTAGTGTGCTTTGTCACATAGTATGTCACTCTCTCCAAGTTATAGACCTAACTTTGTTAATTTCTGAAATCCTGAACTTCAGTACCCTGGACTTGGGTCCTTTGAGCTTTCCTGTTTTCACTCTTTTTCCATCCCATAGAAGTTTCCAGTCCCTTTTGAAAGTTTCTTCTCCAGACTTCACTTCCTCTCACACTTCTCTTTTATTTCTGCCTGTGCCACTAGGAAGATCATCTGGGCTGGTCATCTTCGCCCTCCACTCTCTTTAGTGTCTGCCTATCAACGTGGATAAACGTTACATATTCTCTGTCCATTCACAGGAGCTAAGCATTGCTGTGGAAAAGCACAAACCACACTATTTGGCATCATTTGCAACTCAGGGTCTGCAGACATAGCTCTCAGCAGCCACTGTCTGATCTCGTTCTTGTCCTTTGTCAACTCACTCAACCATTCCTCACAAGTATTCCAAAATTTCATTATTTTCTCAGTCCCCTTCCCTCTCAGCAGATGGACTTGCTTTTACTTTCCTGAGTAAACTAAGTCTATGACTTGTTCTTTTTCAAATTCAAGCCCTTCCATACATAGATTTAACTGGAAACACACACCCCCTACTTCTTACTCTCTGAAGGCAAAAATCCTTGCATCCGGCACATCATCTCCCACTGTCTTGGCCAGGACAAGGTTCCACAGTTTCTTGCCTTTCTACTTTTTTGGCATTAATCTTCTTCGAGGGCTCCTTCCTCTCAACCTCTTCTTTACCTTTCTCTCCATCAATTCTGGTCCTAAATCAAAGGTCATTTTTCTGACCCTGGGACTTATAGTGGGCTATTCACGCTGTGTGCAGAGCTATAATTCATTTCCTTAGGTGCAAGTCCTGTTGCGTGCTCTGTTGTACTCTGCTGTCTTCCTACTAGCCTGCCAGCTCCACAAAGTCAGAAACTTTGTTCTATTCATCACTGTAGACCCCATGCCTGGAATAATTCTTGGCACACAGGTGTCCAGTAAATATTTGTTTGTTTAATGACTGAAGGAGCCTCTGAACATGTTCCACTCTCATTCATTCTAAAGAAGATGGAACAAATAACAAAAATTTAAATTTTTTTTCTTCTCTCTTAGAGAGTTCTCTGGAAGAGCAATCGTAGCCTAGATTAGTGAACCTATTGGATAGTTCAAAGTCAGCTTAACTAATGTTTGTTGATTATTTCTGGATCAACTTGAATGTTAGGATATTTTCTTCTCCCGATGCTGGGGGCCAGCCCCGGCGGGGTCCAGGGAGTCCTGAAGGAGGAGTGGCGTCGGCGAAATGATGAGACAGGAGTCGTTCCGTTTGAGCAATCTTCAGAGAGAGAGCTAAAGCTGCTTTCTCTGGGTCCCCTTTTTATTACAATTTTTCTCATCATTATAGATTCACAATACGTCATTGATTATATAATTTAAAACTTTGCCAAGACATGACATTTCCTTAACCATGATTGAGAGCACACTGATCTACATTCTTCCAGGATATGACCCCCAGCCATACAATCATCAAAAGTACAGAATCATCAATAAAACATGTCACCAATTTACTTCCTTCAGATTTTCCCAAGATTTACTATTTTTCTCAAGATATGTTATTTTCTTATTAACTAATGCCAAACTACGTAACCAGACTCTAAGTCTCCTAACTAATCATTAACCTAAAGTACACTTGTACTTTATTTTTAATCTAAAATTCCCATCTAAAAAAGTCCCTTTAAATCTTATATTTAAAATGTCCTAAAGTTTATGAATCATCCTTAAAGCATATCAGAAACCTATATAACTAAAGACTTAAGAATTTCTAAACTTAAAAATCTAAATAAAATAATATTTCTAACATTATTCTAAAACTGTGTCTTATAAAGCTATTTTAATTGATTCCTAAATTTATTCTCATAAAACTGGTTGAGCTGCTTTCTCGAAGAGTTTCTTTGTTTCTCAGTCAAGGTACACTAGTTCTCAAAGAATTTGTTTCTCAGTCAAGGTACACTAGTTCTCAAAGAGTTTGTTTTTCAGTCAATGTGCACTAGTTCTCAAAGAGTTTGTTTTTCAGAGGATGATTGTTGTCTGATATTAGGTTTGTCCACAATGTACTAAGATAGAAGAATAGCCTTTCACTTTGTCCTTGATATGCTGAGGGGTGGGTAACAGAACAGCTTCCAAGGCATGAACTACCTGTTCTGTTCTAGCCATCTGAAATTTAATTTGTTTGGCATTTAACATACTCATGCTTCCTGTGAGAAACATAAGCATGAAAATGCAAAGTCCCAATTACATAAAAAAGGGTCTCATGGTTTCGGTTACCCACCAACCAGCGTGGCTTTGCCAGCATTCATCCTCACTGTGACCCTGTCAAGACAGTGAGTGGGGGATCGCCTTCACCATCCCGATAACTCCTTATAAAATACATGGAACTTTGATATTTAGTTTTTCTGTTTTACTACCCAGTTTTATGTCAATGGTATGCAACCCAGGGTCCTGTTTTCACTCTTTTTTAAGTGCTTCTGGCCACTAAAACTTAGATACTTGAATGAATTGAAGAGTTAAATAAAACATTTAAATCAAGAAAAGATATATTTATAGAATTAGAATTATATGTACATGTATGACATTTTACTGAACCTTTTTATACTTCTTGTTAATATTTCCTTACAAATCCAGGAGAAGACTATTCACAGTAATGCATAATAAAATATCATTATGAGACACAGGTACCTCCACCTTTTTCCCCACAAAAACACCCAAAAGCACAATACTGGGCTCATGATAAGTGTTCATTAACTTCTATTTGGTGAACTTTTTTTTTTCTTTCAAATTCTTTTATCAGTGTGGGAGAATTTAAGATGAAAAATATCAGAAAATAAAACTTATCAAATACTAAGGATAATAGGAATTTTTGGGATGGGGGTGCTGGGGATTGAACAGTGTCTTATGCATGTTCACATATTCTCCCAGCCCTATTAGTATTTATTAATACTAATGCTCATTAAAAGCATTCGTTTGTTTATAGGAGAACTACTATGTCATAAAGCCCGTAGATCACTGCCTTCTGTGTGTGTGTGTGGCATCTCTGCCTGACCAGCTCTGCCGGGATGACATCCTTCTAGGAGATGATGGTGGTTTTGTGAACAGATTCACAATTAACAGTGATGACTTTGGACTAAAGCAGGCAAAAACCAAAAAGAAATTACAAACTCAGGTCTTGGACTCAAAGAACTTTAAAAGGTAACAAGTAGTCCATTTGTTTTAATAATTGTAGTCATTGTTCAATTATATGCACACACTTATAGTGAAAATAAGATACCGGCCCCATAAAAGAGATTTGAGATTCAAAGCTGAACAAAAAGCATTTCTTGGCTCAAGAATCTTCCAATATAATAGAGGAGAAAACAGGAAAATTAACCATTCAAATTCCCTGTTTAAAAAAAATAATTAATTAATTTGTTACACATGACAGTAGAATGCATTTCAGTTCACAGTACACAAAAGGAGCACAATTTTTCATTTCTCTTGTCATATACAAATTTGTGTCTTCATACATGTACTAGGGTAATGATGTGAAATTCCTATTTTAAGTGCTTCTGGCAACTGAAACTTACAGATACTTGAATGGATTGAAGAGTTAAATTAAAAATTTAAATCTAGAAAAGATATATTTATAGAAATTGAATTATATGTACATGTATGACTTTTTACTAGCTCTTCAAAGAAGATTCTAAACATAAAGCAATTAACTTAGAATTTAAAGAAAAAGTTTGATAGACTTGACTACCAAATAAAACTTCAAAGACATAAAAAATATCCTTTTAAAAGGTAAATAAAAACAAATAAATTCTGCCATAAATATTATAGACAATAAGTCAACGTTCTTTAATGTGTCTTAAAATTCAATTAAAAACAAAAATTCTCCAAGAGAATGAACAAAGGATATGAACAGATAATTCATGCATATGCACACATCTTACAAATAAACACTTCAAAGTGATTTTCATACTAAAATGCTAACAGTTATCACCAACTAGTAAGATAATGGTGATTATTATCATCTTCCTTACAATTACAATGTCCATGTTTTTGAGTAGGGCATATAATACTTTTATTAGTAGAAAAAGTTAAATTTTGAATTAAAATTTGCATTTCCTTTTTCATCAAGTGAGTACAACTTAAAATCTGATTCATTTTTTTCATTTTAAATTAGAAACTATTAAAAATGGGGAAGTGTGAATTAGATCAAATTTTCCAGAAAGCAGTTGGAAAGGATATATCAAATGCCTAATAAACATTTATACATTGGGACCTGAAATCCCTGGGAGTTCAGAATATCAATATAGTTTTCACAGCATAATTTCTAACATTAAATTATCTCATGTCTATTATAGGGAAATGATTAATTAAATTATTAATTTTCATAAATAATTCAGATATAAATGAACATTTATATTTTTAATAAAATGTTCATATGTATGTAATAAATTTATGTATAAGATACATTTTTTTTTGTCAGACTCTCAAAAGCTTTTATGGTATCAAAGATGTCCACTACATCATGGGATAACTATATTCAAGAATGCCATGTACCCATTAAATTATATTTTGAAAAATGTTTATGATGTAATATTAAGTGAAAAACAATTTATCTGGGACTTAAGTTGTGGCTCAATAGTAGAGTGATTGCATTTATGTGATAACTCCTGGGGTCAGCTGGGGATATAGCTCAGTTAGTAGAGTGCTTGCCCTGCATGCACAAGGCCCTGGGTTCAATCCTCAGCATCACAAAAAAAAAAAAAAAAAGAAAGAAAAAGAAAAAAAAATTGGGGGCTGGGGTTGTGGCTCAGTGGCAGAGTGCCTGCCTTGCACATGTGAGGCACTGGGTTCAGCCCTCAGCACCACATAAAAAAATAAACAAATAAACAAATAAAGATATTGTGTCCATCTATAACTAAAATATAAGAAAATTCCTGGGGTAAATATCCAGCATCATACCCACACACACAAAAATTATCTATGAATGCATCAATCCAGTTTTGTAAATACATTGCATATCTGTGTTCATGAATATGTATTTTTATTTAGACAAATATTAAGTGTAATTATCCAAAATATTAACAATGAGTCTCTATGATACTTCAGAGATATGATTTTTGTTTTCTGGTTTGTTTTTTGCTTCCTAATTTTTTTTTTATAAAACATCTTTTTTAAAAAAATATATATATATTTTTAGTTGTTGATGAACCTTTATTTTCTTGATTTATTTATATGCAGTGCTGAGAATTGAACACATGTGAGGCAAATGCTCTACCGATGAGCCACAATCCCAGCCCAAACATCTTTCTTTTATAATTGAAAAAAATTTAAAATGTGGGATCATACAAATAAGTAACAAATAGGGTTAATTTGTAGGGTTAGAATGTGCAATTTACCCTACTCAAAAACATGGACATTGTAATTGTAAGACTAACCCCATTGCTGTAACTGACAGAGAATGACAGAGTCATTAGGAAACTGGTTCCACTTTCTTCCCTTTATATCTGAGCAGTGTAAGCCTCACCAATGGTTCACCAAAAGCTGAGACATGAATCTTTACTGAGATCTATTCCACTTGTCAGAAAACCCATGACCCATTCTTCAGTTCCTATTTCCATTGGGCATAATCAGAAATGAAATTTGGGAATCTGGGGAATTTGAGGAATCTGGGTACAGTTAAATGAATGATAATAATTCACACTGGTTCTTGTGGATCATTATTTACATGTAGACAATCTAATCGTAGATTATCTAAATCTTTCAAAACTCAGATGTATATATAGGCTGAATGTTGAGACAGTTTTCCATACCAAGAGTTCCTGAAACTTGACAGAATGAAAAATATTAAGGCTTAAGATAGTTAAGTTCTAGAATCATCAAAAAAGCTTTCTTGTGGTTGACATCTACAAGAATTCATTCATGTCGAATGGGTGGGGACATAGTAGCAAACACTAATACACAAAATAAAGAGAGAAATAGCCAGCACCCTGAGTTCAGAATTAAACAAAATCTGGCACAGAAAAAGAAGTATCTCTCTCCTCTTCTTAATCCCATATTGTAGAGCTTTTATACCTTGAGTTGTAAACATGTCTGTTCAACTAGAATCTAAGCAACATGGTGAGAAGAATTTCATCTTCATCATCACTTTATGTCCTTGATACCTGGGATAAGTAGGTCATTAATATATGTGAATGAGGAAACAAATCATTACATGTGAATAACTATAACACCTAAGGATAGCTTATTCCTGGTTAAGACAACATGTTTGAGGCAGAGATTTAGACTTCTGATTTTAAGCAACGAAGGACAATCCTTGAACAAGAAATTGAATGGGTATTCTAGCCTCCCCTTCACCAATGGTTGGGATTTCAAATTTTCCATTTCTCCAATTGTGAAAATTAATGGAAAATACAGATGTATTTTTCAGCTGAATTGATTCATAAGCCATAAACCAATATGAAATGTACTGCACCACTTGGATGATCAGAATTTTTTCAGTGAAGTAAGGATGATATTGCCAATTAGAGACTGAGATCTTTCCAAATTGTTCCTTTAGTTCTGAGTTTATAGCTTAAAAGTTGATGAGAATCTTTTAATTTTTTTTTTCATTTTAAATAGGCTAGAGTAGGAAATTTTAGTTAGTTAAAAGTGGCATAACCCATAGAACTGTATTCTTAGCATGGCTCAGAGTTGCAACTCAGTTACTCAAATTAAATGCTCAATTGAAATGTGTTTGTGTATCTAACATAATACTCTACCCTCTTTTTGCATTCCCAGTGTTAAAAGGAAGCTACATAATGACTGGGTTATGAAAATTAGATATATCCCATCCCTAAATTGCTTTGGATCCTGCTCCTTAGACAGTGTTCATTCATTAGTTTTGGAATCCTTGAAGAGACTTGAGGACAATTTGTAAGTACATGGTTTATATAAGTGAACATTTTGTGGCTTTCAAAAATTTTATCATGATAAAACATCACAGTCTTGGAACTTTCAAACTTGTTTTCCAAAAAATTGGATGTTAAATATTCCATTTGCTTGACAAGGTTAATCAGATTTTTCAGGAGGAAATTGAAGTTGCTCAAGCAAATCTGAATATGACGTGTTCTCTTCACAGCAGTTTTGCTCATTTGTCATTTATCACTGTGATCTACTGCAATAGATCAATACAGCTACATCTATAACTAAATTTGAAAAATGTTGGTCTGTTAATCAAACTTCATACTTTAAAAATTATTGTTTAAACTAACCAGTAGTTTGTATTGGCCATAGCACAACCATAACATTTTGTGTATAATACACCAGATGGCAATGTGAACTTGAATAATGGGGTGATTTATTTTCAATCTGGCTAAATGCTTGTTATTAACTAAAGAACAGTGATTGCATTTTAATTTTTAACTTTAAAAATTCATTGAGATCTGTGCTACAGCAGACAAACTTCAAAAACATTATGCTAAGTGACAAAAACTGGACAAAAACCCTTGCATATTTTATGATTCCATTTATATGAAATGTACAAAAGGGCAAATATATAGAGGCAGAACAGTGGTTGCCTAGGAGCTGGTGGTAGGATCAGGGATACCAAATGGGCACAGAGACTGATGAAACTGAGTGTTCTAAAACTTGTAGTGGTGATGGTTACATAAATGTATCATTGAATACATAAATGTATCGTTAGACACTTATACATGGTAAGTTTTATGGCACGTGAATTATACCCCATGAAAGATTCTTAGAAAAATATATCAAGACTTCTGGTTCCCAGTATGACAAAAAGGAGTTTGGAAGTTGTCATTCCATCCTAAAAACAATTTTTTTAAAAATTGAAAAAATTGAAAAGTCAATAGTTGAGTTTTTCTTAGATATGTGAGGTCACAGGGTAATTCTGCCGCCTTCAAATTGGGGAGATAGGTAGGTAGATAATGAGAATCACAATATACTGAACTGAAATTCATATGCAGAAACATCCAGAGCACCTGATACCAAGGTAGAATGACCTAAACTTTCAGTAACAAATTTCTGGAGGCTCAGCATGGGTTACTGTGAGTGTTAAAACCCAAGGGCCCAGGCACAGGGGGAGTACCCTACATTGTGTAGATTTTGTCTCCAAGAGCTCACCAAGTTCTCAAGTAAAAATTAGAGAAAAATCCTCTCAGGCTTCTGGCAGGGAGAGGAAAAAGGGAATTATTGAAATATACCAGAGTATTCTGTTCTTAACAAGGCCTACTTTCCTGAGAAACTATAATACCAAGTCCTAAACTTCAGGGTTTTTTTTCAGAGATTAACCAACCTGAGAGAAGGGAAATATTCAATTTCAGTTCACTCTAGCCATCCAACCCCAACTAAGGGCAAAAGGAGAAGCCCTGTGAAGTTCACAGTTCAGAGACGTAGACTCACTAAAAGACTGACTCCTGATTTTAAGACTAACGGGCACATAGTCTTTCCCATAGCTTACCACCATATTACTAAAGCCCTATTTGCAGCAATTCTTTTTTTACCTCTGTTATCATGGCTGACATTCAAGAAAAAATTCAAAGGCATACTAAAAGACAGAAAATATGGCAGGGGTATTAGAATTATCATACTGGGAATTTAAAACTACTAGGATTAACATGCGAAAGGCTGTGACGGATAAAGTAAACAACAGGCAACAACAGATGTGTAATGTAAGCGGAAAGACAGACATTCTATGAAAGAACCAAAAAGAAACACTAGAGATCAAAACAATAGCAAAAATTAAAAAATACCTTTGATAGGCTCATTAGAAGACTGCACATGGTAGGAAAGAATCTATGAGCCAGGCACCGTGGCACACGGGAGGCTGAGATTATAGGCCAGCCTCAGCAATTTAGCAAGGCTGTAAACAAATCTAGTGAGACTCTGTCTCAAAATAAAAATGAAAAGGGCTGGGGATGTGGCTTAAATTAGGTTATGTGTGCCCTTAGGTTCAATCCCTAGTACAAAAAGTAAGAAAGAAAGAGAGAGAGAGAGAGAGAGAGAGAGAGAGAGAGAGAGAGAGAGAGAG